TATCAGTTAAAAAAATTATGCAATCCAATTCAAATCTTAAATATCTTAATTTTAGTTAATACCTTATATCTAATGAAAATGCTTTGAGTAAAGGAGCTAATCTAGTTATTAAAAAATATGGATGACTTTAGATTGGAAAAATTAGAAATAGTTTTATTAATTTTCAAGCACAATTCATTAAAGAATGCTCTATATGTGATGTTAAATATGATAAGGACCAACTCTATGAATTTATTCAAAAAAATAGTCATTTTATACTCAAGTACTATTAGCAAAAATAGTATAAGTCAGATCACAAGGGTCTTAGCTTTGATAAGAACAGTATAATAAAATTTTACTAGTTGATGTGCCAATATGTAGCTGGAAGCAGAACAGGCAAAAGAGAAGCAGAGCTGGTGAGCAATATTTTGAGGAATTTCGTTCTCGTTTTTGGGAGAGACCAGGTAAGTTCACCGGATATGTTATAATCTATGTGTCTTGACACTAGCTCCGCTATTAATAGCAAATATACTAACTTGTAGAATTACATTATACATGAAATAAAGAAACACCATTTGACTTAGCGCATAGTGCAAACACATCTACCAGAAGACGACACCGTAACCGTACTCCACCACCAACTTATGATGGAGTGTCATCAATTCCAAGCATGAATCGCCGTGAATTTACTGCCGGTCAAAGAGATCGATCCGCATCACCCACCAGAAGAGTTCCTAGCAGAAGGGATGAGAATACTAATCGAGATAATGTAAATAATTTAGGTGGCGATTTAGGCAATAATGTGGGTGGAAATTCAGCCATAACGCAAATGATGTGGGTAGAGATTCAGGCCATAACGCAAATGATGTAGGTGAAAATTCAGGTCATAACGTAGATGATACAGGTGGAGATTTGGGTGGAAATTTAGATGATACAACATACGAATTTTCATCTGATTTGACAAGTATTACCTCAGCCTTTAATATATCTGCATCACAAAATGACAGTGATTTTAGTATGGCCGATGCAGGAGGAGATAGTCAATTGTTGGAATCTATAAATGAGGAGGGGAGTTAGATTTCGTTTAGTTACTGTATAATTGCGAAGCAAAAAATAAAGCTCTACTACTTCGTGGTTAAAATTGCTTTTATTAAATGTTTGCCTACCGAAATGTATTTAAACCGCGATTACGTAAATTATTTCCTTGATCCCGTGTCAATTTACCTTTCAAATATCTCGTGACTTGTGATCGATAAACCGAATACGTATCTTTACCTAGAACTCATTTTCTACCATTTCGCATTTTTTCTCAAACTTTTTACAAAATGTTTCGTGATTTAACTAAGAAGTTTCAAGAACAATTCCGACTTCCAAAATTTCCAAAGGAACCTATAGAGGAGAATAGGTAACATATGATTTTATCATAGAACTGTGACCCTTTAGTTTAAGTTCCACTTAATGTTAGCTCATATGAATTGCAGTTTGCCTTTTAAGATTGGTTCCAATATATCGATAAAAAACTACAACAAATTTCTTGAAAGCCGTGAATTATCTGGGTACAAGTTTGAGTATAACGACGGCAACATTTTTATTATTGATATGTGCACACAAGTACATGAAGCTGTTGTTGCACTATTGCAAAGGTATTTTAATGTTCCCAATGGCAATGAAATTGCTGATCCACCAATACTCGTTTCGGGTCAACCACGTAAGAAAATTCAAGTTTGCCTGATCTTTGACTTTTTATGGATTTTCTAATATCTTACATCCTTTTTATAGTTCATCCTTCACCAAATGCAGATGGACTTAAGATTGCACCGGATATTGCAGTATATCCGGATGAGGCATACGTTCCAAGACCTCCCAATACTGGACTTGGACCTCCCCCAAGCGACACAATGGTACATTGAATTTGGTGTATATTATCATTATCTGTTTTGTATACAATTTTCTAATACTTATACTTTTGTAGGGGAATTCTCATGCTAGAATAATATGTGAGGTTGCAGTTAGTCAAAATTACTGTGGATTGAAAAATAAGTGTGCACTTTGGATGAGTCAGCAGTACGTGAGATGTGTATTAGGAATAAAGCTTTATGAT